ACTTAAAAGAAAAACACCCGCAAAACCCCGCCAAAAAAAAAAAAAAAAAAAAAATCACCACAACTCCTAGTGTATTCTGTGTTCTCCTATTCATTTTCTTTCGTTTAATTTGCTAGACCGCTTCACCATGTACCAGGACGGTTTCCTTCAGTACTAAGTACATTGCTCCTTCCTCCTACGCAGGCATGGCAACACTGCTCTCCATGAGGCAGTTCTGCTTGGATTGGAGGGAGAGGAGTGCATCCAAGCCCTGTTAGGGTAAGTACTGCCGCCGGGCCTCTAGCTCAGCTACAGGCTGCCCGCAGTCTGCTTGCACAGATCTAGTTGGCAATACTGAAGGGCCTGAGCCTCCCCGAGGCTCAGCACTCTTGTCTCACGGTGGCATCCCTGTAGGATGAGCCATCCAGGAATTCTGAAGTTACTCTGCATCAATGCTTACCTACAAGCCACTTCACTAATTCCAGTAATTTGGAAATGAATTAGAGTAGCTTAAAACTGTTCTTTATTTACAGCTGCAATGCAAGCATAGAAAAGAAGAATGCAAGAGGGCAATCAGCATATGATTTGGCTGTTACAGCTGGAAATGATGAAGTCATTTCATTGTTCATAAGTAAGCTTGGACAGGGAACATTGGACAAACTTGCAAAACCCAGGAACATTAGTCTCATCAGTGTGTGATTGCAATGGCCTTTTCCCCCCAAGATGGAGCTGGAGGTTCTTTGAGTTTGGGAGCGCCTAAGCACGTGCCTAGTTCTGTCTGCAGACTTCACAACCTCAATCAACTCAGGCCCTGTAGCAGCCAACTATTTTGTACAAGATTCCCCCATTCCTTCCCAGCAGTTCAGAGTACAACTCTTCACTGTCCATACTCTGTTCTGCAAGATTTTTCTTCCTTTCCAAACCTGTGCAAGGAGAGGGAGCAACCAAACCTTCCACGGCACAAGGACATTTTAAGGAGACCTGATGAACACTGCTTAAGACAGTTTGACACTTCAGCAATAGCACTGCAAGCTGTACTCCCATTAGCTTATTTTCCATTTTGAAGTTAAAACTGCATTCAGTGCAGCTCATTGCATTAAAGGTCAGATTCTTTTCCTCCAGAAAATTGAGTAAAATTACTTTGCTGTTTTGCCTTTAACTTTTACTTATAAATGCACCAACATGAGGCAGCAGCCAACTACAAATAGATGTTTACAAGGACAGCAGACACGCTAACATTTGGGATAATTAGACATTAATAGCCACAATCCTAACCCCCTGAAGGAGTTTTAAAACTCCTTCCCCATTTTATTTCCAAAAGTATTTAAAAGCATTGGTATATTCAGTATAAAAACGGAAGTGCCTGCCAGCTCTTGCAAGAAACCTAAGTTTTTGCTCCAACATATCCAAAATGGAAACAGCTGGGTTTAAAAAAATAAATTACAAATAAAACCACAAGTAGCAATCCTTAATTAAACCAACAGGAAGAATAGAAGAATCCCTGCAGAAAAAGATTATGTATGCAATGCATCAACCCCAGGTACTTCCCGGACAGACTCAGGTGAATGAAGGAGAATTCAGTCTGCTTCTCACAGAGACAGACATTCTGAAGACAATTTCTTGAAACACAGTCATTCAGTCAAATTGGCAGTGCCAGAGCACACATACAAGACAGATGTCACCAGCAAGTGAGAAGCTACAGTGGCCTAAGAGACCAGTTTCTCTATTTCGCGACGTGTGCTCTTGGCTACATCTTCAACCTCGGTCACCTTCTGAGAAATTTCTTTTTTCTGCAAGGAATAAAAACAATACATTACCTTCTACCACTAAATTGAGCATTGTTCAGCTTCAAGGGTAAAGCGGGCCGCATCTCCCGTAAGGCAAAGGCTGAGAACCAGGTGTCAGGAGGCAACAAACCACTCGTGCAGCGCTGTGGTAAGCAACCAAGAGGCCAGCTAAACAATCCCCAGACTAGACGCTAAAGAACTCTTCCAGAGTCACGGGGGCATAGAACAACATCACAGTAACAACGTGTACGTACAATTCTAGCTTTCATTCGTTCTTTGTCCAGCTTCAGGAACTCCTGCAGCGTCAGCTTAGTAGGATCTTTCCGAAGGGAGAGAAAAGCGCAGCCCACGGAGTGGTTTTTGTGTTCCTCCCTGAAAAGAGGGGCG